GACACTTTTATGCGTGGCACATGGCGTTGAAGGTACATTTTTGCCATTTAATCTCACACCAGACCCAGTATGACGGTCACTTTGTGCCTGATGTGCGAGTCTTGACTGTGCTAGCGCACACTGCGCCTTGAAGAGCATTCAGCATTGTTTGTCCTTTCTTTGGTTGTTGGTCCTTAGACGCGTGTTCCCATACCAAAATCTTTACATAGTTTGGGATCCACTTCATCAGACTGGCACTGCCCTTGACATGATCTCGAACGAGACGTTTCTCTCTTTTCTCCTATATTCTCCTGTTACTCTTTCGCATTCATCGCTTGCACTCACTTTTTATGTTTGTGACCATGCTCTTCAAAAATAAATGATAATAGTTATGTGTATACAGTAACTCACCGCCGTTTTCAAACAGTCTATCAGGGTTATTCCTGAAACTTCGCAATCCTGCCTCAGCAGACAGCCAGTGGGACTAGTTAGTCTTTGACTAAGCCTCTGATGATGATAGTGATCATGTCTCCTGATTTCTTCATTTCTTACTGGTTTGTTGGACGTCGTAACCTTCATTTTGAATGTTCTATTCGATATCACATGTGTTCTGCGTTTTGTGACTCCTGATTTAAATAGTTGTGTCACTCTTTCCGACGCGTATGCATGCTGATTTTGTAAGGAATCTTATGTGTTGTGATATGAAATTAGTCTGTTCCCTCTAGTAGTTCTGCTTTGCACATCTGTACTCTCACTAATCTATTCAAAACGCTGGTGCGTTTTGGCAACGTGTGTGAGATTCTTTTGGGCTGTCTCATGTGCATCCTCCAGTTGTTTGCCACTTCTGGTTTTCTGCTGCATGGCCAATAGTGTAAAAATTCTGCATTCCTCTCGACCATACTGATTAAAAAATATAGAATCTAGCTTCTCTTCTGTGTGAGGAATTAGGCATCCGCCAAACGACATGCTCCTTTGATTATACAGTGTCATAGTTGGGTAGAATTTTATTCTTGATTCTCATGCATACGGACCGAAGATGACTAACCATGATTTCTGCCGGCACGCTGATGTTTGCTAATTGTGGTAGTGTGTCCTGTTTGTCCCATCCAATGAATCTTGCAGTTGTTGCATTGAATGCTGCACAGAACATTGGCAATCCTTTTGGCCTTCGGCGAGTGCATGATACTGAATCACGAGCCGTCTGGTGTAACAAGGTCACAGAAGGTTTCCGGTTAGATGGTCAGAGATCACCTGATACCAGCGTGCAGACATACAACCCACCCGCATGCATATCCGCGTGGTTGAAAGGCTATTCTGCAGTTTTTGGCAAATGGTGACATGACGTTAGTAATAATAATAATAATAATAATAATAATACGTAGTGCATTACCATGGCAGTAATTGGATACAGAGCCAGGCAGCCAAACGCGAAAGCAGCCGAACGAATTTATTTATTGATCTCCCGAGTCACTGCAAGTGAACTGTAGTTGCGGTTTTACACGAAGGTCATAGCTAATCACCTATCAAACCATAGCCATAGATAAAACTGTATGCAACTCGACCAGTTCTCCTAAAGAATACATTTCGGTGTTGCCGTGATTTTAGGGCACATCACAATATACATAGGATGGCTTAACTGAAAACCTCCAGATAGTTAATTTCTCGTCCTATTTGGCGTTCCAAAGGAGCGCACAATAAGCAAGCCACTGTAGTTGTAAACCTTGGGTTTCTATTTTGATTCTGAGCAAAATGCGCCGGCCAACTCTTTACCATATGCTTTATTCAGTAGCTAATTTCATCGCATTCGAATATCCTGTGCTTCCTACTAGAAATGTGAGCTTTGGTAGGTACGCTAGTAAATAGTAAGCTAGTTACATTACAGAGTGATACTTGCAGCGATAGGTTTAAGGGCTACGGTTCTAGATTGCTTACCATGTAGAAATGTATCAGATCTCTTAACGACTCGAAATGACCGGAGTTTGTCTGTGGATAGAGTTGGTACGATGCTGTCTCCGTCAGTGACCGCTGCGAATCGGACAGAGACGTTTCTTCAGGAATGACAACTGAAACAAACTGATGCCGAACTGAATCACCTAACAAATAGCTGATCACATAACCAGGGAAGGCGGAACTGACACGCGTGAGAAAGGCACCGCTTCGTCCATCTGCTCGCAGCAAATGCTCAGCCAGCATTTTATTCATTACTCCTGGGAAGAATAGAGATGGAGAAATTTTTATGGCTTTAAGTAACCAGACCGAATAAAGGCTGGCAAGTCAACTCATTAAGAAGAGAAGAACGGCGAAAGGCTAATGCTGATAAACGTTTGCATGGATATGAACCAGTTAAGGAAGTGTTTCCAGTGATTGATGTTAGAAATCCGATTTTTCGTTCCCTAGTGTCAAGTCTGAAATTAAAGTATACCGTTCGGCTTGGAATATAGCTTCACGTTTGGCAGCTTTAGACGGGCATGCATCAGCTCGAGAACGATCACAAAAACTGATAAGATATAAACATAGAGGATGTATATTTTTAGCTCCCGCACAGAGTCGGACACAGAATCCCTACTGCCCTCTAGTTCCAAGACAATATCTAGTTTCTCAGTCCTGAAAACTTCAGTCATTTTGTCTGATTGCATAAATATTCAATGGTAACTGAAGCACCAAGTTCACATACACAGAACGCGTTCGTGTGCTGGACTCGGATCACCAGCCATCAGTCCACTCAGCATAGAGTTCTGTTCATTCTCACTATATGTACTAACAGCTGATACTTCAAGATGTACTACTCTTCTGCTTTTTCCACCGTGAATACCCGATTTCACGTAGGTTGGAAACTCGGATATCCATACTAATGGCAGGCGCTCACAATAGTTGAGTTGTTTTCGAAATTTACGGGTACGTTATCCGTGTATTCGTTGTTTACTATTCTCCTTCTCACTTGTTCTTCTTCTCTCCTCACCCCATTTCTAGTGACATCTCCGCAGGCCCGTTCTTAAGGACAAACAGATCCGTTCTTAGCCAAATGCCGTTGGCTGCAATCCGCACGGTTTACGCAGCAGCCACGACCACAGACATTTTGAGATTGTCCTTCAAACCTCGACACTTAGTTCGTCTGGCAGTCAGTGACCAAACTCTGAAACAATCTGGACAGTACAGTGTTCTTTCATGTTCGTCGGACTCGCTTTTCATTGTGTGCTATGTCTCCGCGACCCTGCAAGATACCGGGCGTTCTGCTTGTGAAGTGGCTCAATCAGCTAGACTTAGGCTTGATTGTACCGTCTGAGGGAAGCTGATAAATGCTAACTGAATGGTGCATTAACGCCAGAAGTCGCATTCTGTCATTCAGACACATAGGCACACATTTAATGGGTACCAGGAATGGGCGGAAGGCTAATCCAGTTTCCTGTACTCTGCATATACCTATACAAACTATGGGAAACCGTTTCTCCGGATTTGGGAAAGTATGGCGCTCATAGAACAGCCATAACTAAAATAAGCTAATGGTGATGAATTAAGCACAATATCCATGTTTTCCTTTTGGCAGGAGCACAGTTGAACTAAATTCCTGATGTCTCCAATATGTCTTGGAAATGAAATGTCTTTGGGAAATAGAAAAAATCATATTCTTTTGCTTGAAAGAGGGACAACTCTAGTGAGCCGTCCACACAATTCTTACTCAAAGAAAATTCAATGTCTAAAATTGCACCTTGGGTGCGACAATGAAAGGACATTTTTGACAAACACATTTGCACATGCTCACCATGAAACCATGTAGGGACGTCGCGGAAATCGTTCTCGTTCAAGCCGTCAGGTGGGGCTTGTCGCGGCAAATGAAACTCTCGAATTAGGCGAGGTGCTTCTGATTCGTGGAACCAGGACAGATTCGATTTCTTTTGTTCTTTCTGGTTCACAGCTTTAAATAGTTTCTCCTGTCGACGCCTAATTTCTTCGGAGACATTTTTTGAAAGGAAGTTTGCCGGTAGGGTATTTGATTTCAGTTCAACATTCATAAACTCTCGTCGTCTTGGAGCTGAGTAGATGGATTAGAAATACGGCAGGATTTTTATCTATGCAATGGAATATTTATAGTGAGAGAACCCAGCGGTTGTGCGTGAGAAAAATTACAACAACAAAGAATAGGGGAGGCGTCAGTCAGTCTATGGTTAGCAAATAAACTGTCAACTATATGTGACTAAAAACGCCGTGAACCGATATGAACGACACTCCTTTTTAGAACATCTTGGTTCTAGAACATTACATTTGCCAACCTACGGGCCACTCATATCCACCAGAAAATAATCAGTACATGTACTTTTTCGATGCGTAGAGTGACTGCAGAATGCCAAGTTTGAAACAATCTGTTCCAAGTGCTCTACAATTCTGGGATAGTTTAGTACCATTTGAGATGTGCGTAATCGATCAGAATTTCTAAATCTCTCAGCATGGATAGCACAAATTCCCACGGCAAATTATTCACCCTACTACTACTCTAGAATAGGACGTAACAAAAACGGTCCTGCGAATGATCACGGCATTATTAAACGTCAGTTCACTCACCCACCCATAGTATAACTATCTCAGTGATACGACCGAACTCGACGTGATTTCTCCAGAACATATTGTGCTGATATCTTGCTGAAACCGATTGCTTCGTGCGCTAGCATGGGCTGTATCAGACATAAGTCTAGTGCAGTTGTATTGACCCACCGTCAAAATCCAGAGCTACGTTGATAAAAATACTTCTGTCCGAACACGTTGCTTAACATGGCGTTGAAAGCTCCAGGCATCTTTAACTATACCAACATACATCCTTTTTATTAGTTTTGAAATAACGATCGAGAATCTTACACCTTCAGCAATACCAAAGAAATCAGCATAAGATGAGCTTTCTGTCCACTGAACTTGCTAGTACACGATACAGACAGGAAGGTTATTTACAATAGCACACATTGTTAGACAATAGTCTGACTACATACTACCAAACGCGTCTGAAAAATCTGTGGTAATAAGAGAGCTACGTGAATATTATTCGTCATCAACCACACCAAACCTTCCTTAAGCCCACCAAAATCTGTCAGCAAATGTGGACTGCAATACAGAGACGTTACTTTCTTAAAGGCCTAACGGAGGTCGATCTGTAGGCAAACAAAATGGCACTAGACGCGGAGAGAATGGCTTTATATAAAAAGACGTGTATGGTTTGACGAATGCACTACTTCACAGGTTAGATTTTAACCTCTGGGGATCGGTCTGACTAAATAGTGAACCAGGATGTCGCTCAATGATGCCATCCAATGCACATGAGTGTCATAACTTGCCAAGTAGTTAATACACTCGCAAATTTAACACAGCTTTAGACTGTCTCAGTGCTAGAGTTGTCCCCACTTAACAGAACGCCCCGGGCGTACTAAGAATAATTAAAATGAAATTACTCACAAATTTGAACCCATGCGAGAGTTTCTAGTGTAATTAGCCTTGATGTTTACAAAGCGACTATCGACCGTATTTTTAATTTCTTTTATGATGATGGCGGTGCCCGTGGGTCATGAAGGTAATTTTTATTGGGGCTTGCTCGTTACATTATCGTAGGTTTTATCATTCAGGGTCACAAGAGTAAAACGATATTTTTAGTGCATCACTGTTATCATCACCAAGCTCTTGTGGATAAATTTTCATTTACTCCTAAATTCGACAGAGAATGTCCTCTCAAGAAAGACCGTCCTCCCGAAAATCCTCTCTCAGACCGTCCACCGTGGGCGCTCTTTGTTCAAAGGGATAGAATGATCACCGCCTTATCTGATGGATCTCACAAGTAGACCACTTGGGAAAGAAATGTGGTGTAGTAGTGAGGGTGTATCGACAAGGTACTGTGTGACTGATTAAACTACGTCAGTTGTTTTTAGTTCCGATCAACTTCCAAGATGGCCATTAGGATTTTATTAATTCTTCATTGAGCGTTATTAACTTGTTATGTCAAACGATGACTATCAACGAATGTTCATCTTACGGAAGTAAACAAGTTAACAAAATGAACACGTCTAAATTCATCAAAGAAAATTGTCAGCAGACACCTAGATATACACTCATCTCCTTCTACCAGCCGGTTGGTGCTTCAAGCTGACATCCCAGGCCTTGGTTAAGAATGAGATCCTCTTGTGGATAGTAGACATTTCAAGATTGGACACCCTTCCTATCAAAAAGGGGTTAGTTATTCTTAAGGGCAGTACATTTTAGATGCCAGCAGTTCTACAGTTGGTCAAAAAAATGATCTTGCGGTTAACCATTGTTTCGCGATCGTGGTCGAATACGCTTAAGATTCACGGAAATTCTATTTACATGCCATTCTTCTGCAATTTTTCTACCGTTTTCTAACATGTATGCACGTAAGCTTCTCACTCACTCGATTTGTCTGCCATGCAATAGAATGATAAGTTCTTTCAGCGGCCTTAACCCTTGTCTTCGTCAAATAAGCACAGCCGTGTGATTCATTGAATTGGGCTTTAATGATTGATCTTTCACAAAATGCGATAGAACAGCTACCAGTATCCTTATGCTTGGGCGCAAGTTCTGCACTCACTTCTGTTTTTCTAAATAGTTTTAATAGTTTCTCTTGGCAGAGTCTCATATAAAGAAGACTTACTTGGCGATGGAAGTGCAGCAAAACCGTTGGACCGCGAGTTTGCGTAAGATCGCCTGAAAATCACTGGTGAGTTTTCTGCGAACGCCAAGTTTGGAACAGGTTGTTTTATGGAATAAAATTCATTGGGACCACCACCGAACCCGCCCAACATTTCCTGCGATCGGGTTAAATCAGTTACGACACTTGGTAAGTGGCGTACTTCGTCGTCCACCAGCGGAACAGTTTCAAACTTCGCACGGGAATCACTGTCAGACTCTCCATGTGGGCTAGATTCAACAGTTGGATGTGGAGCATTCTGGGAGTTCAATCGGGGGCTCAATTCGGGACTCGTGTGTAGACTGCTTTCGGAGCTGCAGCGTTGGTCGGATATAAAAGACAAACGTAAACGAGTTTCCATGTCTGAATATGAGGCTTGATCCTGTTCGATCTCGTGCACTGAACCATTTTCTGATATCAACAGACGTCGAAATCCTCTGGATTGATTAATGTTCACCACGTCACTATCTGTGCTGTCACTGCCTGTCGAAGATGAGGATAGTTTTCTTTTTGACGTTTTGTGTCTTTGTGAAATTTGAATTTGGGTTGGATCGGATGTGAGATCAGGAATCGAAGGTGTACGAATGTGAACAATCCGTTCTTCTGTTCTCCCTGGTTCATAACTCCATGCTGGTCCATCGCAAGGGTGAAGGTCCATGGACTGGGAGGGAGATTTCGCAGAAGCTTATGACAAATTCAGTTGTTTTAGTGATGTATCCTTGCGCATCAGGCTGTTTTTCTAATCCTCTGTACTCACTAAATTAGCTCTCAGATTGACAAGGTTGCCCAACTATCACATGAAGGTACATATCAGATAGTTAGATTAGGTACCTGTTTGATCAATTTCAGCTATCTAATAGGGAGACAAACACCGTGATGCGCAGGAATTTCTCTTTAATCTATTCAGCAACACTAAAAAAATTTAATCAATTTCACATCATATGAAGGAAAAGAGGAGCGAAACGAAGTCATGTAGATGCAAGTTAATCGGGTCCTGTTGGTAGAAAGCTGATGGCTTGTTATAAGGTCCTTTTTACGCACAAGCTTGGTATGTATCGACTGAGAAACTGGGCCACCATGCATGCTAACAATCTCTAGATGACATGTTAGAGGAACACCTTTTAAGATCACTTTTATGACCCATGGTTAGGATATGTACCACGATTAGAAATCGGCCCCATCGACTAGGAGTACAAGGGCCAAAATATTATGTACCAGTCCCAAGCCGGAAGAGTTCCGGCTGTGAGTTTGTCATAACTTAGAACTGCTACAACACACTGGCTTGATGGAGCTCATCATCCAACTTCTTTCTAAATGCCCAACTGGTGTCGATGTACCACGACATTCCCTGAATTCACCTAATGGATTACTGTATACTATTGCTTCTCATGAAATCGTAATTGATATATAGATGCCTCTGTCACTCAATTTTCCCCGTGTATTTGTAGCAGACTTTACGACACGTCAGAATACGCCCACCAAACATTTACCGTAAATTTTTGATCCATTTTACGACCATCCAGAGTGCGAGTATTTTCGGAAGCCTTGAAGCTTTCGACTGTCCCATTTCCGTTTCCATGATAAAATGAGAAGCGAGGGGTAGTGATTAAGTAGATATGCTGGTTTTGGTTAACCTAACCTAGCCAATTGTTTCTGGCTTGGAAAAGTTCTTCTCAACGACCGAATTGTTGGCACGGTTCTTTTAAAAAGCAAACTGTATAGATTGTGCTCATTTGCCTCATTACTTTCCAAAGGAAGAATTTGCCCTAAAACTTCTGACGCCTGTATGATTACCTGTACTGGAAGACGAAACACAAATACTACCTGACCTGCGCTGTTTAGTCACGCACGTTCGATAGACTTATTAAAACTCTTGGAACTGTGCGATGCCTAATTCGGTTGCCTACTGTCATCATATTTAAGGTGGAATCGATATTGGTAGTATAGAGAAAGTGACCAGTTAGCAAGGAACTAAATAGAGAAATCGACATCGAGATCACGGCCTGTAGAATTAACAGAGCGAATCAACGGTATGTTCTATTGCAAACGCTTTGTTGCTGACATCTTTGTCATATGCAAGGATGCCACACAGATGCAGAACAGATACCCCAAAATCTAAATACAGTGCAGCCCGTAATCCGACTAAGGACCGATTCAATGTTGAATATTCCTTCTAACAGAATAGCAGACGGTCACATAACCAGGATTGCCAACAATAAAATCACAACCAAAGTTTTAAGACAGTTTCGGATTCAGAAGTCGTCCGGCATAGTTCAGGACAGTGTGCCTTTCCTACAACTGACCTGGGGCACTGGGCCGACACAGGTACCACCCGTCAGCTGTCATCACAGAACATTCACTAAATCTGCTACCGGAGTCAGTCATCATCACAACAAACAGTTTGGATGCACCAAAATGCACTGGCATCTAAGACTCATTCTGAAATTCTAGTCATCAAACCAAACAGCCATTAGTGCACCGCGTAGAAACCATGGCTGTCTGAAGTTTCAAAACAAACTCAAATGTCCAGTAAGGTACGACTTTTGGCTTGGGTTTCTCCGTGGTTAAGCAGCAGTAGGGAATATCTAGCCTAACACAACCGCAAAAATAAACCATTTTACCCTTTGCTCTTCTTCCACATCTACCCCTCGATGTTCTTTTAATTTCATTCATTGTCGAGTATCTGTAATATCGATCGGCTGCACCTTGATATCCGGTGGCGTGATATCTGGCTAGAAGTTAGCTTAGAATTCCTACACTACAGCTGGTCATTACAGAAGTGTTTTCCACTGGAAGACATTGCTTTTGATTTTCAACCAAACGCACACATCAAAAGTGCCCAAACTCACCACTGCACGACGAGAGGCGTACGATCCACCTCCTACATCCGTATCGATAGGTTTCACATCTGCCGTGAGGAGATGGTCATTCGAGAGCATCGGCTGACGACCCCGACTGAAATGCGACCCATAAAAGTGAAACAAATGACCAGTGTACCAATTTGGGCGTGTCGATAAAAAGGTTTCCCACTTGTAATTTACCAAGCTTATTGCTTTTCAAAATGTACAACGGTTTTGCTTTTTTTAGAAGTCGCGAAGTGACAACCATGACATAATAATATTTCTTCTGTGGGGTGTCAGTGAATTTCGCCGGAGTCAGTACCCTGAGTAGCCTTGAGTGACAGACATATTTTAGCCTGGTTTAGATAGCCGTTCAGCCAACAATGGGTATCGTGCCAGATTTCTTCTCCTTTCTACCCCAGTAATGACCATTTTTCGCGGTGAGTGTACAACCCACAGTAATCAATTTCAGCTACTTGCCTGCTTACCTGAGTAGTTTAAGGAGTAACGTGAAATGATACAAAGTGCACATGTTTGACAATCACCATTCACGCGCATATGGAGAGCGATTCAGGTGAATGCAATTACAAACAGGTCTCCAAAATCATATAAACAATCCCACTAGGGAACCACATTGAAAAAAAACATTAAAGCCTCTTCGTTACACAACTGTAGACCTGAGGTCTATTGACCAGATCGGTCAAAACCCTGAAATATTCCGACGCATATTTCTTCTAACCTTATGTCTCTAGGAGATAAAACGGCGTTAATCCGCGGAGTAAAAGATAAACTATATTGCAGGACGCGAGAGTCCACTAAAATGAAACAGTTCGGCATATAGCGCAACATGGCTCCGAAACCTAATCGCTGAAGCTCGCTCTAAATGATACGTCGTGTATTCATACATATGTAGACGTAGAGTAACAGATAAAAAAGTAGACAGAGAGGGGATAATAGACAGACGGATAGACAGGCAGACAGGTAGGCAGGCAGACGGACGGACGGACGGACGGACGGACGGAC